CTCTCTCTCTTCGCCCCATACTCCACTTGTAGAGAGCCATGGTCACAGGCTATATAGCTATCTGTATCATTTTATGACAGCATAAAGCTAAAGTTAAACATCACATTGTCGTGTAATTCTAATCTATCGGTTGATTTTTGTTTTCTGTATCTATTTAACAATTTTGAGATCTCGGATTCCTTTATCTGACCAATCACAATTTAAGATATCGGGTTTTTTTATCGGTGAAGACTTACTAAATTGTCCGCTATCCACTTTGGTGGTAAAGACACCCACCTTCTCAACTCTTAGCACCCTCGGTGATAAAAACGTTAGTTTTGACTATGTTGCCTCTTTAGTGGGGATTTTGGTTCTTTTGTATACTAGAGTATTCGTATTCAAGTCCTTCTTAGTTTGGATTTAGACGGTACAACTTCAACGCGTGCGACACACAAGTCTACGACAAGAATCTGTTCGTGCAGCTTGCTTAAGACTGTCGAGTACCACACGAAATTGAAACATGTTTGAAACATGTTTGAAACATGTTGAAACATGGGGCGCTTTTCATTCGATGAAAATTCCGGTTTGAATTTCCGGAGATTTCCAGTGACCAATCACGGAACAGCTTTTTCCAGAATTTCCGGAAAAGAGGACAACCTTGCAAGGTAAACCGAATGTGCGCATGCTACAAAGGTCGCATAGACAAAGTTGAACTGCCTAAATCGCCTCTTTAATTAATAACCAGGTCAATACGTTATCAAGCCAACAGTTGTAATAAAACCTTATTCTCAAGAACGAAAATTTTTGAAATCTTTTTTCTCATGAGCCCAAAAGCTAAACTAGTTAAACTGTAACAAGAGTAATGATTATATGCCGGAAGCTGTTTATAGTCATAATATATTAGTTAAACGAGTAAACAGTTTCCCATAAACGGCATTCTATCAATTCGCGCTGTGGACCTGAAGTTTCCTTTTTCGTCAGAGATGACCAAAAGCTCGCCATTATGTGTCGCAAACTGCTCACGCTTCAGGCTTTCCACGAGATGCTGAGGAATTTTCCAGTCAGGATAGATGAATTCGAAATCCTCCGGCTCAAACGAAATTTTGCCACAACGGATTCGCGTTTTAAGCATCAAGGCCTCATTGACGTCCAGCTGTAGTCCTCCATAGTTTGGAGTTGCTGGTAACTGGAGCTGTGGCGGCTTGACGAGTTGTCTTTCAGGCAAGCCACCCGGCTGAGTATCATGATAACGTTCCTGTCGTGAAGGACCTGCAAACTGTTCTCGTGGCTTGGATTGGCTTGCTTCAGACGCAACATTGGCTGGTGTTGGGAATTCTCCCTGATACCTCTCTCTTCCTTTTGT